ACCCTCAATCGTCGCGTAGTTTCTTTCCGTTTTATCACGATCTTGAGCATACACGTCTCTAAAGCTATTCCGCTTACCGCAGCCATCATAAAGAGTGTAAGTAGCCGATGGCACGTAACTGTTTCCGCCGTTTCTCGGCGGGTAACGAGCAGAGCAAAACGACGACGCTTGGGCAGGAGAACGCACAGATTCCGAAGAAAGCCTGGAACGAGTGTGGCTTTCGACCATATACCTTTGCGCAGAAGAAGTGTATTTACTGTACTGGGTATAACTCATAACGTTGATTACCTATAAAATAAAATAATAAAATAACAATAGAAACAGCAAAACAATAAAAGCAACTTAATCGCTACAAAGTATTAAAGAAATTCTTCATCTTCCATCGCCGTCTCTCCTTTCGGGTCGCGGTTAACGCTTTGAACCGATACCTAACTAACTTACTAACCTCATTCCGTTCTGATGCCTCAGTGAAAGTCCTTGTTATATCTGCCTTGTCAAGTGCTCAACAAAGAAAAATCAGAAGGCTTCAGCTGGCTTGAATATAACAATAAAGATATCAGAGTTCAGAGAGACGCTATATGATGATAATGCAATCCGTTCAGTTAAGTGTGTAGTCGTAGTCTAGGTCCTTGGCCGGGGGCTGTTGTACTTAAAAATAGCATTAGCATGATTTCAGGACATTTTCGCTGTATTCGTGAATCGGTCGGTCAGCTTCATTCAGTCGGTTACCCAAAATTCTAATAAGCACATGATATTACAACTTTGTTCTAGGTTACATGAAGCCATACAGTTTGCCGCTGACGTAGTACGGACGTAAGTGTCGCAGCTTATTATCAGATAGTATTTTCCGGTTCGTTACTCGACCATAAAAGCAAATTCTAAAAAAAGATGTTGTGCAGAACACATGCTTAAAGGCATTTAGGAGACACCCTTCAGCAAAAGAAGCACGTCTACTACCGAGAAATGCACCACACGCTTCAAAACACAAGTCTCATAAACAGTAATACAACAGTCTTACAAACCAGTTTGTCAAGTAGTTTGCAACGCTGACAGCTGCGCGATCGGGATTAAGATCTTTACCCCAAAGGCTAAGTAATCTAGCTGCTTGAAATTACTTTCAAAAGCATCTATTCAGCTAATAATGAAGTTTTCTATGATAAATTGGCAAGAAAAATTGAAACATGAATAAAAGTTGCAAAAATTAAACGAGGGAATGAATAAACTATTTAATGTTGTCGCACATCCTGTCGTTCAGCAAATTAAAATCATCAGACGTTACATTTGTTGACAATCACACTGAATACTCAATTATGAGATGGATCAAAGAGAACTGTAACCTCATTAGGTGCTCGCATCAGGAATGGCAGATGGCACTACATCTCATCCATTCTTGTATGCTGTACCAGAAAACCATGCTACCTCTGTTCTTCGAAAGGCAGCAATTTGTTAAACGTTTGTCGGCTGACTGACCTGTAGCAAACGTGGAGTGATTTCCAAAAGGGCATTCGCCGTTAATGCAAAGGTTGTCCCTACAAGGAAATCGAACCCAGCATCTGAAGCGTTCGAAGCCGGCCTCATTGCCACCGCATCTAACTTAGCTTAACATATATAGTGATAAGGCCAATAAGCAATGAGACAAACAACTGTAACTGAACGAAACCTTATATAACATTCTTGTATAGTATAGTGTTACAGGCACAGAAGAGCGGTTACTTGCACAAAATATTCTGATTTGCCGTCAACCTTCTGTGTATATACATTTCATCGGCCGATTTAATCCTAGAGTAACGGATGTGCTTACGCTAACAGCAACAATCGTTGTTCAAGCTACTAAACATAACTTTAGATACTAGAAAATATATACAAAGTTCAGCAAAGAGCACAACTCTATGCTCTCAGGCACCATATGCCTCAACCTCGTAATTGGATACGCAGGTTATGTCTTACCCAAACGAAATTCATTGTAATTCTTTGAAATTCATTGTAATATCAATTTCTGTACTTGAGTGGTCCTAAATATTGTGAATAGGCGGCGAATTTTTCATAATGAAAACAACATATTTCATCACTCTTCCGGTTATATTCAAATCCCTATACGTTTCACCTGATGAACAGCTGCTTCGGAGATCATTTCAGTGATTTTCAGTCAGGCATACCTTATCCTTTAAATTCCACTGTGCGGCAATGCGATGCCGCAACTGAGCTCCTCGGGGATCTGCATTCGAGATGTATACCTACTGCTTTGCCAAGAGGGAAAACTTTGAGAATCTCGCATGCAGCATCCTGTTGTTTCGATGTGGGTAAAAATCGGCTCAAAATCCAGTGAATTTCCAATCAACATGCTATATTCAGAATTGTGATGTAGACACGTTCGCAAGCATTAGAAGAGACCTCCATTCTCCAGTTCGTTTCATTTGTCGCACTTTTCACGTTACTAGTGGCTAAACGTAATGATGTCCAGCGTTCATTATCACAGGTAAGGGTAGGAGCGCATCCAAAGTGGAAAACAGAGGCCGCAGTTTATTCTTCATCGCTAAAACATTTCCAGAATAGCCATTCAACTAACTGTTCGCGATCTCTTTCAATAGCATATTAGCAACGGACATAGATCCCAGCTAATGCTAGTATTGAAAATCTCTGCGGACGACCAGTGATTGATAAAAGCTAGGCACGTTCTCTTTCTAACGCTTACCACAATGCCATAGGTAGAATCCACGCCACTTTCAGCAGGTATAATTACTATTATTTGTGCATGGCACACTCTACCTACCGTACCTGTGCAGTTATTTTTTATGACAGCAGAAATGAACCGTAGTTGCACTCAACTTCATCGATTTTTCAATTATGTGATCAGCAATGATTTTAATAGCATTGCCAGTTGTTTCTGGCAGGGATTTACGGTTGAGTGCTTAGTTACGAATAATCACTACCTTCATGCGCATTCATCGACATCACAATGAAATATCAAAGGAAACCAAATTGTCCTTCATACTGCTATTAACAAACCAGCGTATTTATGGAACAGAATCTCATTCAATTCCACCTGAACCGTTTAGCCCATCGCATTCGTACACTTGTTTGAGTAGGTGCAGAAAAAAACCTATCATGTGACAATGAGCCTCTGCTACATGATTAACTGACCTTTACGCACGATAAAATGAAATTCTGAAGACACTGGGATATTCAGATCCGCAGAAGAAGCCATATGTTGCAGCATTAACCTAACCTACGAGATAGAAATTATTAATAGTATTTACATACATGCTCAGTACAGTTTGCAAAGAATGGTTTTATGACGACAGGTCTTACGGTTTTGCAAAACATCACCAACTGAGCAGCAAACACTTTTTGTGCTTTCAAATTTACATCAAACGCGATCAAAAAACGACAAATTTCACACTTTAATATGGCATACATAAGTTCAACTTCGTAGCAATGTACATATCGGAGAGAACATCGTGTAATAACTAATAACAGAGATCAAACATCTATCAGCGTTATGCAAAACATTTTAAATCCATTGCAAAACAGATTTTTAATTTACGCCAACCATAATGTAAACCAGCTTTAAGAAAACTGTGTAGACAGAGTTCCTTCCATTGAGTCTTCAGTATAAGGAGGTGCAGCGATGATCCCCTCCTCAGCAGCTGCAACCGGAGCTTTACCTGCATCCATAATAGTGCAGAAATTCTTTAAAAGCGATTTTACTGCAGCTAACGACAATGCTTGCCAATTTTCGGGTATTTCAATGCCGAAAACTTCCCGCAACAGTTTCCTAGCAGCGTCCTGGCGAGCGCCTTTCTTGCTTACAGCGACACCTGTGAATTCCTTGTCGTCTATTTTAGCCACGGCGGTGAAAACTCGTTTCTCGGTATCGAACGGCAATTCCATGTATTGTACTACTTTGCCCTTTGGAGATGTAATCTCGTTTAGAACTTGGCACGGTGACTTAGTAGCATCTGGAACTAACTTTGGCAGTCGGTAGGGCACCATACCGTAGGGATTGTAGAAGCTACTTTCGAAATCAAGTTTGAAAACTTCGTTCATAGCTCTCACAGCAACTCGGTACTTTGCTTCCTTCGGCGATGCGCCCACTTGCTCGAACTGCTTGTCTCCGACGGTGCAGATGGCTCTAAACTGAGTGCGATGATCCACCTGCTCTTGCTCAGATGCAATAACACATTTCAAATGCTTCATAGTGCACAGTTCTTGCAGCGCCTTGATAGGAACTTTATTGCTTACAATAAGCAGCATCTCCATACGTTCATCAACTTCCAGCAAAG